TTTTTTTTTTTTTAATCTTCCAAAAGTAATGTAAGAAAAGAGTGAAATACTTACTGGAAATGAGGGCCATAGGTCTGGTCTTGAACAGAATCCGGTGGCGAATAATTCCGATGACTTCCAATTCTACCCCTGCGTCTCGGGAGGGCTTGAGTTTCCTTAAGACCAAGAGTGGCTTCTTCAAGGGCTGTTTGGTCCCTGTCAATTCGTGATACCCAATAGTAAATGTGTAGGTTTGGTCCTGGGAGGAGGCGGAAGGGCGGCAGAGGAGGCCGATGTGGAGGTTGTGGAGGCGATCTTGAAATTGGGACTGAACCTCCACCATCCCTTGCAATTCCACCACCGCCCATTCTGGGCAGTTGCTCTCCCCGCAACTGCACTTCACCCGAATCTGCATTCTCTCTCTCTCTCTATCTTCTTCTTCTTCACTTTCTTCTTTTCCCTCACTTTTCAATTTAACCCTTTTTTTGAGCGGCCAACAACTCCCGCCTCTCCAAACAGAGTCCTCACTACAGAATTCCACCTGAATATGAAGCAGCAAAGGAAATTTGTTTTGGGCCTGAGTGCTTAGAGCCCATTACCTACAATAAAAAGGGCATGGATAGGGCCCAACCCTGAACTCATCCATCCATCAGTGAAGGCCCAACAATAAGAATAAATACGAATATAATAATAATAATAATAAAAGGATTATAACGGCTTAGCTTTAATGGATTGTAATAGAAATCAATTCAAAATGTGTAACCTTTAACATGAATATTACAGGAGCATACACTGTTAATAAGAAAATACACTAAAGTTAAACATACACACAGAAAACTTCGCCGAGGCAATCTCTTTCTAAAAGGGATTGTCCTTATGGCTGCGTTGTGATAAACTAACACAAGAAAAAAGAAAAAAAAAGGGTTAAGGGCGTGGAACTAGGTTGGTGGTACAAAGAAAGTGTTGTATAAGCTGTACAAGGATTGAAGTCAGTGCAATTGTGCAGGTGCATTGCCCATGTTTCACATTGATTGCCTATCCATGCCCTATTGGATTGTATCTGATCCACCAGAACTATGTAAACTTGCATTCCTGGTGTGTGCAGGCTCTGAAAATTGCTGGCACAAAACATCAGTTTGGCAGAAGTTATCTAGACCAACATTTTTCAAGGTCAAGTCACTGTTTCCTTGGGTTCTTGATGAGCTTAGTTGCTGCCGAAAATACTCCTCAATATGAGGATCATAGTCCAGTGGGATTGCACCTGTGAGAGTTTTTATAGCAAATTCAATGCATGGGTCTGGCCATAAACCCCCGAAAGGCAACTCCACTGGGGATCCTGACTTCTGTTCAGCCTTATCATCCTTTCCAACTTTTCCCCCATGTTGTTCTGGTATAAAAAGGTTGCCATGAGCCAAAACAACATCGCTCCTCTTATTGTCTTCTTCTTTGTTTCCAGAACGATCTTTGGGAGTAGCCAAGTCACCTGAAGATTGCTCACTATTGCTCCTGGAATTGTCAAAAGCTATCCCAGTGAGAGTCTCTATTGCAAATGCAATGCATGGATCTGTCAAGAAATCCCCCAGCGGCAAGTCTGGTTGAAGTCCTGGCTTCTCTTCTGCCTTATCAGTGGTTTCAAGTTTTCCTGCATGTTCTTCTGGGAAAACAGAAGCACACCTTTGCTTCTCGTCACCACTAATCACTGTTTCCACATTTTGAACATGCTTTTCTGGCTCAACCTCAGGACAACCAGGCTGTCGGAATACAGAACCAGTAGAATTACCTGAGGATGAACCTTCAGTTGTACCATGTACTCCTTCCCCTGATTGTTTAATTGTAACTCGACGTGCTCGAGTACTTGTTTTCAGTTCTGGCACTGGATCAACTTCAACTCCAGCTAGTCGCTTTGAAGCACGACGAGGCAAGTTCAGCTCTTTCTTCTTCTTGGACTTGCCCAGGCTAAGTTGGGTCTTTTTACTTTCATGTTTAAAGAGCCCACTTTCCAGGCATTGCTTATCTGCCAGGCCAAAACCTGCTGGAACTGAAATAAATTCACTTTTGTAAGAATCACCGTCCTGTTCTTTCTGCTCTGAACCTTTGGATTCTGTTGGATTTAAGCTGCCTGATTCAGTGTCCACCTCAGCTGCAGTCAGTTGTGTGATTTCAAATTAGATAAAAGCTTATTATATAGTAAAGTAGAATAAGGGTTGGCCCTTCGAAATCAATCTAACTTCCTAAATCATCACCCCTAAAAAAAGACTTATTTTAAGAGCCTCAAATCTTATTTCCACATAAAAGAAACAGCGTAAACAAGAGATGAAAGTTGCACATTACTCTGATAAGAAGTTTGTGCAGGAAAGGTCGGGCTTTCTCCCTTACATGCTAGATTAAGTATCTGTCCATCCTTCATGATCTCGTTCAAGTGCGAGCTCTGATTGAAGTTACAGACAATGTAATTTTGCCTAACAATCAAAGTTAATGATGTGCATAATAAAGTACAAACCCAAACAATCCCTTTTTCAGTATAAAACTTACAGAGGCTTTTTCATCTTCCAATTCCTTATGACTACCATGACTTGGCTCTAGAATTAGCCTTCTTGGCTTCTCATTTTCAAGATAGCGATTCACATCCTTCATTGAGCGGAATAATTTTTCACTTACAGGATCAATATAATACTGCATACATTGAATATCGGGTCAAAGAATGTACTGATATTTCGGTGGCCAAATTGGAATTCAAATATCATGCAAATCCTCTGCAATGCAGCCAAGCAAATCAAGAAATAGTGAATTTTTTTTAGAGATTACCGAGTCTCTCCTGATCTTATGATCCTTTTTTGTCATCCGAATTTCTTTGATCCATCCTTGAGGTAGTCCTCCTGCTATAGTCTTCTCAACCACAACCTAATTGCTTGAATAATTGAAGTTTTTATATCCAAATTAATAAAATATGATAAAATCAAACATCTAAATGTAAATAATAAAGAGCAGTTTGTGTCAACGAACATCATTTGCTGATCGCTTCAAAGTCTCTTCAACTTTCTGCTTGACTTCATCGCTGATTTGAGAGGTGTTGAGATAGCGAGATACCTCTGCCTTGGAATTGAATTTATGTCCACTCGCGCTATCGTAATAATACTGCAAGAAGCGCAAATTATATACATCTGAACTAAAGTATGTTGAGACACATCACAAAATATAATCAAGTTGATATTCTCCCCATATACAACTGTTTCAAATTTTAGCTTAAAATTAACACTTTTCCCCAAATCCTCGCAGTCATTTTCTTATGTTTGCAATATGCCTTAAAGAAACAACAGAAAATCCACGGAAATTTCGGGTACTGAGGCCCCATCTCGTTTCAGATTCTATATCCTACAATGTTCTCAAAAGACATCTTTCCTTTTTGGCAAGACTTGAAAATTGAAATGCTACCTTCTAGAACATACAAATTATGAGATAAACATCACTAATCAACATAACAATCACAATCGAATGAACCCTCTAACTTTAAAAAACATATAAATTTTCAAGTTTACATCTTTGATCACAAGGCACAAGACCACATTTCTACCCTATTGACTTCCAAAATCCACCCAAACCCACTGAAAGTTTAGAAAACTTATTAATCAGCTGCGTGGATTACCATGTAATGCAATCCACTTAACATTAAAACTAACTTTCCAAACTTTGACAAACAAAGAAAACAAGTTCAGGAACATAAACCTAAACAAGCTATAACTTTAACATGGAAAATTACTCGAGGATCTCGCTCTCGCAGTCGTGACGATAGAAAGAACTCAAAGAAATAGCAATTTTTTACCTTGTCTCTTTTACCGTTATTTCTAACTTTGACCTCAACGGTCCAACCAGTTGGGAGCCAGTCCTCGGATTTTTGGTCCGTCATCTCGTCGGAATACGACTTCACATTCACTCTCTCTCTCTCGCTCTCCGTGAGTCAAAAGCTTGGGAATTTAGAGTGCTCTCGGACAAAAGGTCTTCTCAGACCCACGTGTTGCCCAAACTCTCTTGCGATGCGAGGGAGGCCTAGGGGGAGAGAACGTGTATATCTCCGTAGAACGTGATTGTTTAATCATCTGCTCTGCTATGCTTAAGTACTGCTCAGTAATGCGCTTAATCAAGTTGTACCTTTGGGATGAAAGTACCCTCTTATTTTTCCCCAAATGACTCATTTAGCCCAACGTACAATGTTTAGAATCGAAAAGTTTGAAGAAGCTTCTGAACTGGGGCTGCATAGGATTGAGTTTCATCAAGTGGAATGTGCACTTCTGTTAACGGAGATTCCACTATTGTAGTAGCCAGTGTACCATCAGTTAACCTAACACCTTCACTTAGAAATTGACACGTGACTCAGTGGATTTCTTATAGTTGTTGCTTGGCTGTTCACTTTGCTCTTTAGCTTTGTTTTGTTTGGAGTGGAGGTGACATGGGAGTAACTGGCTCCAGAACCACTGGATCGTTGCTTTGTGAATCTCTGACACTTTAAAATTTGGGATTTTTCTAAGGTACCCCTGAACAGTGTGAAATTTAGCTGTACCCCATTTTTTGCCACACAGAATGAGAATTGGCAGCACTGTTTGTATTCTTTCATTTGTCTTATGAATCTGATCTTTCAAATTTTCTTTCCTTACAAGAAAAGCAAACAAGAGTAAAGACATAGAAAAGGAAACAAACTTCTGTCAATGGAAAAGTTGGAAAACTTCCTTTCCATTGTTATTGCATGTTCCCAAAGGATAAGGAAAAACTTGTGCCAGCCAACATAGAATAAGTTAAGCATACATATAATTGAGTTTGGTAATGAAAGGAAACTTGGAAATCTCCACAAGCATGTATTATAATAATTATACATCTACAAATTACAAAGAAACAGAAAGTTTTATGTATCATACAATATCCAAACTAGCATGTATCTTCTGTATCAATTGACAGCAGATTTATTGTACTAACTAAGCTAATTGTGAAGCTGATTGGGTCCTTCATAGACAACATGATGCGAAACTGCGTGGATTGCGTTGATCTTGTTCTTCCTCATGGACTCGATGGAGCTTCGAAACATTGGAGCATACCTTCTGCTGTGTATTAACCTTTGTTCTGTATCTCCATTAGAAGCTTGATTAGTACTAATAATACTAATAGATCGACCACAACTGCAACTTTGAATTATTCCCAAGAAGATAATGAAAATAAGAATTGGGATTATGCCCTTTTGAGCTTGCATGATTTGTGTGATGAGATTATTATGAGCTATAAAATAAGGATTGTATGTATAGAAGAAGAGCAGAGGAAGTGGTATGTGCTTGGAACTTTGTGGTGTTGGCGTTTGTCAACGAGTGCTTGAAAACTGCTCTATTAATAAAGGAGCTGGCTGGCTTTTGCCTGCAGGCTGCCTGCAGTGGCCAAAATATTCCTGAACTCATAATTAAAAATGCTACCACCAAGTCAGAATTCTTAATGAGATCGGTACTGTGTTACATGCATGTACTTTCCCACGTTTATCCAAAATGACAAAAGTTGACTTTTAAAGAAAGTCGCTTTCTGCACTATCTAAGCTGGCCGCCTGGCCCCCATGTGTAGCTCTAGCTCGAATGTTAATTTGCACAGTTGACTTATCCTCATAGAGAGCTTTGTTTTTTTAAAATGCATAATCTAATCCATGTCTTGCTGGAATGGCTGGCAGGCATTGCTATGGCATGAATGATGAAGTTGTCCTTCTCTTTCCTCTCAAAGAATGCATTATTTATGCAACTGGTGTGAAATATCTGAGTAGCCATCAATACTTTAATCTTTTTATTTTTCAGAGATTTGAACATTGGTATAGCGACTTCTACAGTCTACTTTGTTTCTGGGCGAAATTTATGCGAAAATTATGTTAGAACTTTCAAGCCATTTGGACTTTTTGTTGTTGTGATTGCATTGTTTAAAGTATTAAATTCCAAAACTCCCAAATGATAGCAGAAGAATTTCTAGAATCTACTGTTTCCTCGCATGAAGACAACGTTCAGGCAAGACTTCTAGCATTCATGCACTGCACCATAAAACAGATAAATCTAAAAGGCTCACTGTAACTTGGCAATTTTATCGAAATTATTTGATTTTAATACAGCCAAATTCATGTTGTCAGCAAGCAGGCTACAACAGTAAACTAACATTATAAATTACACTAACATTATAAATGGCACTAAAATTAATCCGGAAAAACAAAGTCAATTGCCATTTCTTTTTGCATATGTATGAGATTTGACCTGTTTCACATTTAAAAACTTTTTGTACTTTCTTATTTCATCATCTGCAGTTGACTAAATAGAGTCTGGTATTATTCATGTTATGTAAGAGAGTTCTGAAATTATGAGTAAGAAAATTGCATGGATTGACCAATAAAATAAATATAGATAAGAGTTCTGAAATTATGAGTAAGATAATTGATCAAGTTAAGTTGTTTAGTGGTGCAAGTATGTCTGTCAATAATATAGTCTTGAAAGGTTTGGTTTTGCCAACTAAGCAGTTTAGATGACATGACAGACATTGCTCGATAGCCCCATTTTCATCCCAGACAAGTCTTCCGACGATCCGATAGGCTAATTTTCTTTGATTTTCTATAGCAATGACCTTTTCGATCGAAAACTGTCATGCAAATAACATCCAATTAATGTAAGTTGGATTGGATGATGGCTAGCTGCAGGGAAGACAGAGTACTTGGAAATCTGGGAGCTTCCGCTTTTGATATTCATTTTTTTTCTGAGTCTCTTCCAGCACATAATCAAATGCTTATCCAAAGATTGAGCATTACAGTGATTCAGCAGAGTGGCTCCGCTTTTAGTAGCTGTGAAGATCATGTTGCGTACATATTTACATAACAGAGAATCTTAATTACCATATTCCAGGTAAAACCCAACCAATACCTTGAGATGTACTGGTTTAATTTTTCTGAGTTTGATGTAAACAAAATTATCAGACATTCGAAAAAGGTATGATATTTTACATCTCTGATTTACAAAACTATGACATGATTATGTGACAAACTAAACCACTAATTGGTTCATCAACCGAACCAACTGCATAATTTGGACCTTTTCCTTCATATTCTTTCCAAGAACCAACTGTGTCTCTCAGCCTCGAGAGTTGAGAAGGAAGTAGAATATATGTTTCATTGAAACATATTGGTGTCTGGAAAATCCAACTCAGTTGTGAAGTGGATTTGGTCCACTAGGGACAGCTTGATGAGCAACAGCATTTATTTGGTTGATCTTCTTATATCCAAATCCTGCGGAAGAATGAGAGCCAGAAATAAGGCGCCGGGCAAACAGAGAAGAAAACTTTGCTGTTAGTCTTGACGCCGAATCTTCACTTCTAGCACAACGCGGGCTGATGCACCGGCAACTTGAAACATGAACCAGTGCTAGAATAACAACAAAGCACAGAAACACAGGAGAGAGTTTATGAATTCTCATGACTGAAAACTTGGGTACAAGTGCATTCAGGGGGAGTTTTTATAGCAAAGAAATGAGGGAGGTTCTTTTAAGTTGTTTGTATGTGTTGGCAAGCAGGTTTCAACTAAAAGGTTTATTTATAGGGAAGGATCATCAGGCACACCCTTCTGCATATTTTTTTCTCTTTTTTCCAAGGATAGGATCAAGGCAACCACTGCAAAGAAAGATCCAAAATTAACAATCAATCAATCATATCACACGACTGAACACTCATTTTCTAATCATTGATAGGCTTAAATGAAAGAAAAATATACAAGTGAAATAACAGATAATCCATTCAAAAGGACAACACATTAGAAAAAAGGAGCTCAGCACATCTGATAGAAACTGATTGAGGATGTTAAAGCACACATGATGGCATGATGCTGAGACATCAAAGCCATTTGGTATATGGCATTGGCAGCTCCTAATTATCTCCCAACTATGATGCATAGCTTTCTGATGCTACATGGCTCATAACAAGTTGAAATTCTAGGCTTTTAGTTGGCCAGGCATGCATATTTATTAAGTACTTTATGAGAAAAGTTGAACCGTGTTAGAAAGGCAAGTCAAAAACACTGTAGTGGCCAAGGGACCAAGGCATTTAATCAATCGTACACATTGTTGTAAAATAGTGCACTGAAAAGATATCTCAATGCCCCAACTTCAACTGCCAGCAGGAGACAGCGAATGGTGCAGCTATAGAACCTGTCCTTTGTGATGCAATTATAAAGGACGCCAATCTTGCATTGCCAATATTTGTAGGGGAACTTCTATAATGAGGGGCTATGGTGAGGGGTTACAATAAACCTTTCTTAATTAGAACTGATCAAATAGTTACTAAGGACCCCCTTACTAGAGTCTTTCTGTATTTGTAGGGATACTGAATTTGTCTTCTCAAAATTTCCAAGTGTCTAATAGGTGCCCTTGATTTTCAAGATATGTATCACAATCTGATGAAGTAGCTTATGCTTTCTCCAAAGGGGACATTGATTTTCAAGTGACATGGAGGGTAGAAAACTTGGAACATGTTTCTCCTATCTTTTAAACATCCAAATCTCTATAAGGACGTGATTTGATTCTGTGTTCCAAAGCGATGGGAAAGAAAGGACTTCGAGAAAAAGATAGCACGCTTCTGTTTTTATATGGCATGTTCTGTGAAGCTTGTAATGTTCCTAGACAAGGCGCTAGAGTGACAATTAACAATCTTGATCAAATCACTGATCATTAAAATTAATAAAAACGACTTCAATTTTGATGGGATTTTTCTTCATTTCTCCCTTACCTATGTCGTTTCCCACATCAAACAACCCAGCATGCGATCTTAGAGCAGCTCCAGCGCTGCTATCAAACTGGGTAAAAGGC